TTATCGGGTAAATACTTATTTTTAATTTTTTTTTAATAAATTTATAAATTTTAGCCATTCATTTTATATTATAACACTTTTAATCATTCACTTATACAAATTGAAAAAAATAACTCTTGATTAATATCATATTAGTTGACTGTTAATTTTGTTAGCTGACTGTTATTTTTGTTAGTTAACCACTAGCATTTTGTTATATAAAATATGAAATTTAAATTCAATTTTATTTATTAGTTTCATTAATAAAATACTAACAGTCAGTTAACGGAATTAATAATTAGTTACAGAATTAATAGTCAGTTAATAAAACAACAATCAGTTAACAAAACTAATAATCAATTAATATAATTAACAAAACGTTATAACCTGACGTTAAGTAAGAGTTATTTTCTTCAATTTGTATAGGTGAGGGACTAAGAGTGTTATAGTATAAGGTGATGGACTAAAATCTACAAATTTATTAAGGTAAAAGACTAAAAGTAAGATTTTATCGAGTGTTTGTCTATCCTCCATTCCTCTTCACTTCATTTCTTTCAAATAAAATATGGGAATTAAAATCATTTGAATCAGGAATAATTTAGATCGGAGTTCAATAGTAAAAGAAATAAAGATTTTTACAACTCTTTCTATGGCCCTTTTTTTCATAGTATTTTTCTTAGAGGACATTCTAAAAAAGCATATTTTAATTAATATATATATATAAGCTATAAAAAATTGGTTAGTCCAAACTAAAAATTTTACTTTTACCATTAATAAAGCCTCACATGTGCGTAATTTTGAAAAACTTTTACTAATTTCAAGAGTGGAGCTTTTTGCCTGGACTAATATTTTCTTAGTGAACTAAATTAAAAATTTCTTCTCTTAGCCATTTGTCAATATCAAAGTTTTAAGTTTAAGCCCTAACTTTAACTTCAAATTAAGATTTTATAATTAGGATATATAAGCTTGCTAATCTCCCTTTTGTGTCGCCTATAGTCTTCATTAGCAAGCTCATGCTAATGGGAAAATCAGAACAAAGGAAAATAACAAGACCAGATCATGTAAAAGTCACATATGTATAGTTTTATTTCTTCATTAACTGGGTTGTTTTCAATAATGGGGAAAATATTGACAGCAATATTTTCTTTTCAGGCTGGCACACAATGCTCTGTGGACAACACCTGTGCTCTGGGCACTTAATAAGGCAGAGTTTTAATGTATTGATTATGGGAAGTTGTATAAAACTTCCAGTTGTGTTGGATGTGTTCTTGTTGAATGAAATGTGTGATAAAATGGCTTTAAAATTGAAATGCCAAAAGCATTCAAGCCCTTAATTATTGTGCTATACTTCCAAATTCGAGTAATCAAAGGCAGCTTTAACTAAGAGGGTTATAGCCAACCTACTCTACGACTTATGGGTCATAGGTGAGGCATACCCTTCCATCCCCCTTGTGAAATTAGTAAACATGAGCGTTTATACAATATTTGCATTTAAATTAAAATTAATTGATAATAAGTAAAATAATTTTTTTATATTTAATTCAAATATCTTTGTTATTTTTTAAAAGAATTTTTTATCTTATATCCTTGGATATAAAATAAATGTGCAATAAATATATTTTTTATAATTAATATATAAAAAACAATAAAAGTTCATTTAAATTTAATTAATTAATTAATTAAAATTATTTACGTAATAATAATACTAAATCAAAATTTAACTTTTATTATTTTTTGTATAAATTAATAATAAAAATATGTATTTATTACATCTTAACCTTTGATTATATTAAATTTTGATTAATTCAAAATTAAGGTGTATCAAATTCTATAAAAAAAA